TGCCGTGCGCAGCTCTGGCCTTGGGGGTGTTTGCCGCAGACGCCGTGCGCAAAGACAAAGTTTGGCACAAACACCTGTCTGGAGGTGTGAGGTGAGCTGACAGTGGGGCTGCCTCGGCTGGGCAAAGGCAGCCTTTTGCTGCTCCTGGCCCGCTTTTCAGCCAAAAACATGAAGGAGATACTGTGCAGTGCTTACAGAGCATGATCCCACTGTGATGAGGGAAAAAAAGGACCTTCTGCTATTCATGGGAAACCTTCTGTTATTCCTTGTGCAGACTTTTAATTCTGTTGTCTGATTTACTGTCCAGTATCTTTCTAACAAAACCTGTTAGAAATTTAGATTAAGGATGAGGAGCTGAATTCATTCATTACAAAATCTTGCAAAGCCTGAAGGACTGGGATGGTGACCGCTCTCAGCAAAGTTTATTTATTAGCATTATGTCAGATTTCCCCCAGCCCTGGGCAAGAAACCTCTGGGATCATGTTAGAGGTGAGACTGATCCAGGTCAGATCAGGTCAGTGTTCACTGTAGGTGTGGGCTTTGGCCCCAGACACTGAGTTTAAACTGGATCAGGGTAACAGGCGCTGCATTTTGTTGTATCACGAGAGTTTATATCCCTGCCTCTGCTGGGATGTGGCAGCACAGGGAGCAGAATTAAGCCTGCACCTCCCGTGGGCATTGCTGGACTGTCTCTCTGTTGTGCCATCAGACCATGGCAGTTTGCTGCTGCCACTGCCACCCCACCTGGGGGCTGTGCCCTCCTGGCAGCCCTTGCCAGCCCCACACGAGTTCCAGTGCTGCCTCTCTGCTGTGTTAGAAGTGTTTGCTGGGAATGTGCCTCATCCCTGGGAGTATCCTTTTGTTCCTGGGCAGTTGGACAGAGCTTTTGGGCTTTTCAGCTACAGACTTTGATTGCAAAAGTCACTGAAAGGGAGAATGACAACGAGGTTTGTCAGAGTGGTGCTGTCAAACCCCACTTGACAGTCTGTGCTGCGTGTTGGAGGCTGTTGTGTATTCACAATGCAAGGAATTAATGTCCCCTTCCCAATTCAGCCTAGATGGTCCCAAAGGCTCTTGCAGGGAATATTTCTTCTTTACTTTCTTTCATTTGTGATAACATAATTTCGAAACTGCCGTGAAAATTTCTTTCGTTCCTCCTGGAGAAAACCACATGGCAGAGGCAGTTTGCAAAGTAGCCCAGAATTGTTTTAGGAGAAGGGAGTGCTGTGAGTGCTGACAAGCCGCATCTGCCTGGGCTCTTATTCCAGGAAAAATGCACTATGCCAAGTCCTTTTCAGTTTTCACATAGAAAGCTCTTGCTGGCACACAGGGAGCAGATGATTGTTCCTCGAGTGCTTGGACTGGACTGGGACCACTCCAGAGCTGAGGAATAATTTCATTTTTCCAGAAGGAGGCGGGAAAACCATGGACTTCCACGTAAGAATGGTTGGAGAGAAACTTGGAAGTCGTGCAGCTTGTTAATGATTTATTCTGATCGGCATTTGCCCTCTCAGTGTC